TTATGCCAGGGAGTGCAGGTTCAGGGCGGAGAGAGAGGAGGAAGATAAGGAGGACAAGGAGGAAGACGAGGAGCAAGATGAGAAGGAGGAAGGGGCGAAGAAAATACCCTTTGAGGAGGTCAGCGATGAGGATGAAGGCCTGAGTGGGGGAGGAGCGGCGTGAGGTGAGGATGGAGCTAAGAAAAGTGCAAGGCAGAGCGGCGGAGGCGCCGAAGGGAGCAGCGGCGGGGGAAAGAAGTGTCGGAATCCTGGAGTAGTGGAGGACATCTCGGAGGCATCAGAGATGGAGGAGGAAGTGCTGGAGGAGGACCCTGTGGGCGCCATGGTCTTCGGGAACCCTAATGATGAGCAGAGGGGCCGCAGCATGAGGAGAAACAGGCGTGAAGATGAGAAGAAGACCTCAGTGGAGAACGCCGGGCGGAGTGCTAGACGCAAAGCGGACAAGGAGAGGGAGATGGAGAAAAGGAGAGCGAGCTCAACAGAGGAGGAGCTCGGGAAATAAATCAACTTAAGGTAACGATGTTAAGGACGTTTATTATAACAACATCCCTCTTGATGGCAACCATCTCCTCCTTTAACGGCAATGGCCTCAAAAGTAGGATTAGAAGAGAACGGGCACTAATTCTATGTGGGGCCAGTATAATATGTCTGCAAGGAACACATTGGGATGGGGAGTGTGTGGAGGAGGTAAAAAAGGAGTGGATGGGTGAAGTGTTTGCAAATAATGGGAGTGTACATGCTAGGGGGGTGGCGATACTTATCAACTCAGGGGAGGTAAGGAATGCAAGGAAGGTTGAGGATGATGGTGAAGGGAGAATGATTGGAGTACAGTATGAATACATGGAAAAAATAAATATAGGAGTGATTCATAAAAAGGGTGAGTGGGTGAAAAGTGAGAAGGATGTGCATCGCCTCACGCTAACGCAAAGGCTGTATGGAAGTAGAGAGGGAGAAACGCTGGAGGAGTGGGAGAAGGAGTGGGGAAAGAGAAGGGCATGGGCGATAGCTGAGACGAGGAGAGCTGTGGAAAATGGGATGAAAAGTAATTGATGGGTGTGATGTATGACAAAAGTGTATGATGGTTTGAATAAGTGTCTGCTATATTTAAGAATGCTTGATGTAAGCTGAGAGTTTGTTCTGCAGGATTCTGTGTATGTTTTGATTTCTTAATGATATATGATATGCAGGAGTGTGGAGATGGAGAGAAATGCTTTATGATTGAAATAGATAAGAAGATCATGTGTGTATTGGAGAAATATTCATGAAAGCTGAGAATTTGGTGCAATTGATTTGTTTGAAAGCCTTGGGGTCCTTTCTTTTTGGGGATCAGTAAGGTGGACTATTATGTTTTAAAATGTAACTTTGTTTATATATTTCTATTAAAAAAAAGTAATGACTTGGTCTGCGGTGAGTGTTCTGTTGAGTCTTTGTTAAATCGGTTAGCCTTGAAATAAAGGAGTTATTTTTGTCACTTGAATCTGCATTTGGTTCCTGCTTCCTACACACATCGCATCAGAACGAACCGACCAGAGATATGGGCCCAGCAAATCCTTTTGAGCAGGAACTATTGGATTATACCTTCTCTTTGACTAACTGCGCTCATCGATGGATGGGAGCGGTCAGGGTTCAGCAGCGAGATGCTGCTCTGGCAGATGCATTCCACCTTACGATGAAGAGCCAATATTTGGTTAAATTCTTACCTGCCTGGCTTTTGGATTACCTCACGGTTTGTTTTCCCGATCCTGATAGACCCAGGTCTCCCAATTCCCTTTTTGATACCACACGCATCGGTGTGGTCCGTTTGGCGCCAGCCCCTGCTTCTCACCCAGTGTTTGCTACAGTCCAGGAGCCATTCGCTGGTACTCGTCTGGCTTTTGGAGGTCCACGGAGCCTCCAAACGGCTCCTAAAAGAAGGAGTCGCAAGGCCAGGTTAGCAGCACGAGCCCAAAGGGCCATGGTTACAGACCCAGTTCTGGCCCATACAGCCATGTTTCCGGCTCCAGAACCGTACCTTACAGCCATGGCTCCGGCTCCAGAGCCGGCCAATTCAACCATGTTTCCGGCTCCAGAACCGGACCTTGCAGCCATGTTTCCGGCTCCAGAACCGGACCTTAAAGCCATGTTTCCGGCTTCAGAACCGGACCTTACAGCCATGATTCTGGCTTCAATTCCGGCTCCAGAGCCGGCCCATTCAGCCATGTTTCCGGCTCCAGAACCGGACCTTACAGCCATGGCTCCGGCTCCAGAACCGGACCTTACAGCCATGTTTCCGGCTTCAGAACCGGACCTTACAGCCATGATTCTGGCTTCAATTCCGGCTCCAGTTCCGACTCCAGTACTGGCCTCAGCAGCCATGGTTCCAGAACCAGTTCCGGCCCCAGCAGCCATGGTCCCAGACCCAGTTCTGGCCCCAGCGGCCATGTTTCCGGTCCTGGTTCCGGCCCCAGCAGCCATGGTTCCAGACTCAGTTCTGGCCCAAGCAGCCATGGTTCCAGACCCAGTTCTGGCCCCAGCAGCCATGGTTCCAGACCTAGTTCTGGCCCCAGCAGCCATGGTCCAGGCCCCTGTTCCCGGCCCCAGCGGCCAAGGTTCCAGACACAGCTCTGGCCCCAGCTGCCATAGTCCCATCTCTTGTCCCTTCTCTGGTCCCCTCTCTAGTCTCTTCTCGAGTTCCCCCTCTAGTCCCTTCCCAAGTCCCTTCTCTAGTCCCTTCCCTGGTCCCATCTCTAGTCCCATCTCCAGTCCCTCCTTTAGTCACTTCTCTAGTCCCTTCTCAAATCCCAACTCTAGTCCCATCTCAAGTTCCCTCTCGAGTCCCCTTTCCAGTTTCTTCTCAAGTCCCCTCTCCAGTTCCCTCTCGAGTCCCCTCTCAAGACCCCTCTCGAGTCTCCTCTCGAGTTCCCTCTCGAAATTCCTCTCAAGTCAACTCTCAAGTTTCCTCTCGAGTTTCCTCTCAAGCCCTCTCTCTCGAGTTCCCAATCAAGTCCCTACTCCTGAGCCGTTGGAGGTCCCGCAGACTACTCTTCTGCCGGGGGTCCTGCGAACCCTATGTCCTGTGCCGTTGGAGGCCCAGCCGACTACTCTTCTGCCGGGGGTCCTGCCAACCCTAAGTCCTGTGCCGTTGGAGGCCCCGCCGACTACTCTCCTGCCGGGGGTCCTGCCAACCCTGTGTCCTGTCCTGTTGGATGCCCCGCCGACTACTCTCCTGCCGGGGGTCCTGTCAATCCTATGTCCTGTCCCGTTGGGGGTCGCGCCGATTACTCTTCTGCCGGGGGTCCCACCAACCCTAAGTCCTGTGCCGTTGGAGGCCCTGCCGACTACTCTCCTGCCGGGGGTCCTGCCAACCCTGTGTCCTGTCCCGTTGGAGGCCCCGCCGACTACTCTTCTGCCGGGGGTCCTGCCAATCCCTTGTCCTGTTCCGTTGGAGGTCCCGCCGACTACTCTTCTATCGGGGGTCCTGCCAACTCTATGTCCCGTGCCTTTGGAGGTTCCGCTGGGGATCCTGCCAGCTCTATGTCCAGTCCAGTTGAAGGCCCCGCCATCACCTGTCCTGCCGGGGGTACTGCCAACCCCTTGTCCAGTTCCGTTGGAGGCCCCGCCATCCTCTGTCTCGCCGGGGGTGCTGCCAACTCCTGGTCCTCTTCCGTGGGGGATCCTGCCGAGGCCTATCCCACCGGCTCCGGTTTCTGTTCGGCCGACACCGGGCTCTGCTCGGCCTCTGGAGCTGTCTGGTCTTCGCCCTCGAGCCTGGCCCCCTGTGAGCCGCATTCTTCGCCCTCGAGCCCGGGCCCCTGAGGGCCACGGCCTTCGCCCTCGAGCCCGGCCCCCTGACTTTTCCGGCCGGGGCCCTCGCCCTCATGCTCGGCCCCCTGACTTTTCCGGCCGCGGTCCTCGCCCTCATGCTCGGCCCCCTGAGTTCGCCCGCGGTGGCCTTCGCCCCTCCATAACCCCCACCTTGGACTCTGTCTTGCCCCCAGGCCGTCCGCCCGAGTCCCCCTTCTCGGCTTCTGCCTTGCCCCCGGGCCGTCCGCCCGAGATCCCTTCCTGGTCCTCTGCTGTGCCCCTGGGCGGTCAGCTCAGTCCCGTCCTCCTGACACTCTCCAACCACCCTGGTGGCTTAGTGATGCGTCCCTCACCTGTGTCTTGTTTGTATGATTAGTATTGTGTGTATTTAAGTTCTGGTTTTTCTGTCTGTCTTTGTCGGTTCGTCTTGTGTAATGACTTGGTCTGCGGTGAGTGTTATGTTCAGTCTTTGTTAAATTAAGGAGTTATTTTTGTCACTTGAATCTGCATTTGGGTCCTGCTTCCTACACACATCGCAACAGAATGAACTGAGAGTGGCAGTCTCAAAACAATAGCTCCGGTTTGAGAAGATCTGCAAGGGAAAGCAAGCACACACAAGTCATTGATAGGCTATGTGTGGAATAGGAATGGTATAGTGATGTGATCGTTTGCAACCTGCAGTAGAAATAGTAGTTAAGTGTTCATTCATATATTTTCCTTAAAGAAATTCAAATTTTAAAATCTACGGAAGGGAAGGGAAGAAGGTCTACTAGTTTTAATTAGGCCAAATTAATTCACAGTATCTATTACAAGCACTTTTGTTCATGTGTAATCCATAATAAAATATAAAATTATAGTTGGAACTTTGTATCTTCTTATTATTAGCAGAGAAAATGTAATGTTTTCACAACAATTAATCCTACCAATATAGATGGGAACCGGGTTGGGGGGGCCCGAAAATATTTCCAATTACCCAAGGGGGGCCCGACTGAAAAAGTTTGGGAACCACTGCACTTTGGCATTGCATACATATTGTCTGTCACGGGAAAATATTCCTAAAGTAACTTCCATTTATTTCCTCCTGTAATAACAACTGTTTCTTCTGAGGAGTCTTTCCTTGTCTGCAGCAATGGTCTTAGGGCATTAGGGTGTTGAATGCTCTTCTGGCTAAATAACATTTGTTTTATTAGATGATGATGCAGGTATAACACACTTACCTGGTCTCTTATTGAGTGACAGCGTCCATACTCCGTCTCCGTAGTAAAGGACACGCAGCCCACCAGCTTTGTTCCCGTCAGGGCGGTGATGCCATCATCGTAGACGGCCAAAACACATAGCTCATAGTCTCGCGATGACGCCAGGTCGCTCAGCAGGAAGTACTTGTGGTTAGCCGGGATCATCCTGAATGAGCCGGAGAAGGAGACAAACACATTTTAGTCTGTATGTTCTATATTTATTCTGATATCTAGATTGTTTGTAGATTATGGTTTTAAGTTTTGGAGAGACGATTATGGCGGCAGCACCTGCTCTAAGGGGCTGTTCTCATGCCGCAATTTGATTTTTCTGTCAAAGACGCTGTATTGTAGTTTTGGGTGGATCTGCGGTAAAACCCGGAGCAGACTTCTTTAGTTGCCTTTGTTTGTTGGCCTATGAACTGGATTGAACCGTTGGGGTTGTAACCAACTGGATTTTTTGCTAAAGCGGATTGAACTCTATATATTGACTCTTTTCACCACACATTGCACACATACTGATCTTATATGCAATTTTTCCCCCGATGACATATATCTGACCAAAATGAAAATCGTGTGATTTATTTTGTATTGCATTTCGGTGATGGAGGAGATATCAAATAAAGTAATTCATTTGTGTATGGTTTGACTGAACAATTTCTGTTGGATATTTTAGACCTGGTTCTGACTGGCACCCCACTTTATTAAATATAGGTCAAACCTGTTACAAAGTTAGGGTATTCCATATAATCTGTTCAATGTTATCTGACTGATTGAAAGGAAGTTTTTTTTAATTATACTGCCTTTTGAAAAACAATGACGTTTGTTATTTGTGTATTTTTATGTTAAAGGGCCCATGTCATGCTTTTCCGGTTATTACCCGTCCCCTTGTGTGTTATGAAGGTTTTTATGCATGTAAACGGTCTGCAGAGTCAAAAACCCTCAAAGTACACCCTAGCGAGTAAAACTCTAACACAGAAAATACCTGTCTATGCTGCCCCAGAACGCCTCGTTGGAGATTTCTCTTTTTCCATGTGTTACTTCCAGGAACCAAAATGGACCAATCCGCGGAGCTCCTCACACACCAGGAGGGGTGGGGACCTTTAGCGTACATTTTCAACTAATCAGCGACACACCTGCCGAGAAGCCAACTCTGGTTATTGGTAGCTCTATCCTAGCATTCCGGGGGTCAGAGCAGGCCACATTAACCCCTTTCCTACCAAAACAGTTCCAGTTCTAGCTCCGGGCTAGTGCTCTTCTGGTTATTCTTTTTAGCCCCAGTTGTATTTCAACTGCCCTATGCCTGCTCTTCACAATGGTCAATAATAGAGAATGGGTGGTCTTTAAAACTAAGGTCAAAATAATCAGCATCACACTATGGCCTGTTAGTGTTGCCTGACTTCACATACGTGTGTTTTTCACAAGTCACTTTGCTCAGCACTACTGCTTGTAGCAACTTTAATTTGCGGTACTCGCCATGACCCAGCCTCCGAAGTAAGCCTGACATTTTTGGATCATGGTTCTCGACGGGCAGTCGATAGGGGCCAGATAAGTACCGGTTTTCAGGCCAAGAGCCGGCCCCGGCACTAGCTCCAAACTGGCCCTGGACCTGCTTTGGTGGGAGAGGGGCAATTGAGGCACATCTGAAACTTCTTGCTAAGAATAAACATAAAAACAGTAGGATTGTTAGTTGTCTTCTATCTGTCTGCAAGTCGTTTTGAAGCCATATCTTCCTTTTGAAATAACTTTAAGAATAACAACATTTGGGAAAATCTATTCTACAAAATTATTTGTCATACCACTTTAGTGCTGGATTGGTCCCTCCGTCTATTGTTTTCTAAACCAGTGCTTTCCGACCAGGGAGTTTATATGACTATGAGGCTGACAATCGAGCAGCTTACCAATGTAAGGAGGCAGAGGCAGATCGTCAAGCAAAAACACCCAGTGTGAGAATTAATTTAGCAAAGTGTACAACTATATACAAATAAACGTAAAGGTCCCATGTCATGGCCATTTCTACTTATCATAATTCCATTGTTGAGGTCTACTAGAATAGATTTACATTGTTCATTGGGGCGGTGGTGGCAAAGTCGATAGGGACTTGGCTTGGTAACTGGATGGTCACCAGTTCCAGTCCCGGCAAGACCAAGTGCTACCGAGGTGTCCCTGAGCAAGGCACCGTTCCCTACACTGCTCCCCGGGCGCCGTTCAAAATGGCAGCACACTGCTCCTCACACTAGGATGGGTCAAATGTAGAGAAACTATTTCCCCACGGGGATTAATAAAGTATATAAAATATCAAAGTTCCAAAATCACAATGGTTTCTCAAACAGCATCTCTGTATAGTATGTGTATTCACTCTGTCCTACACACCTTGTTGGAGCTCCTTACCTTACCCTCCCTATGAGCCCACTGTGCTCTGATGTGTGTTTATGTGTTACAATTGCATTTGTTAGCAACCAGAAAAGGACACCAGTAATGACAAACAGATGAGAATGCTGCGTGGGGTCTGGGTGCCGTGTTGGCGGGACGTTGCGGGGCTCGCTGCTCCGCTCGAGGAGCGGACAGTGTGAGCTGGATTACTGGTGTCGTTTCCTGGTTGCTGCGTGCGGTCTGTGAGACAGCGAGACACAGAGGAACTCAGCCTGAGCACACACACGTGAGTTTGTGGCGAACTGTGAGTGGAGATCCACGGAGCCGCGGCTGAGAAAATATAAGGTGTGTGCCGGTGAAAGATAAGGCTGAGTGAGTGTGTGTGTGAGAGGTCCATTTGGACCTTGGTATGGTCACGTCACTATACTCAGGAAGAAAACAATGGAAAAAGAAAAATCTCCAACGAGGCATTCTGGGGCAGCATAGACAGGTATTTTCTGTGTTAGAGTTTTACTCGCTACAGGGTGTACTTTGAGGGTGTGTGACTTTGCAGACCGTTTACGTGCAGAAAAAGCTACATAACACACAAGGGGATGGGTAATAACTGGTAAAGCATGACATGGGACCTTTAACACAAAAAGTAAGGACATTTGTTTCTGGTAGACAATGTAATGTAACAATGCTTCTTGGCAATACATCTTATACCGTTGGAAAGCCTGTTTATTTACCTTTCAAATGGTACCACATTTGTGAGGAACATGCATTAGGATGAGCAGGAGAGCTGAGTATGTGGGTCGCGCCCATGAAACATGTGACAAATATCCTCTGCCAATGCCAAACCGCTTTTTTTGTGCTGTTGACTCTTGTTAGTTGCACTCTTTGTTAACAATGTATTCATTTAACAAGCAGTAGCGTGTCGGAAGAACCTGGCATCTCCTCATCATGCTGTTCACCAGCCTGGTCACACACTGCTGTGGCATCCCATTCTTCAACCAGTTTTTCTCCCAAGTCTCCCAAGGTGATCCCACACCTGTTCAATGGGGTTGAGGTCAGGACTACAGGCAGGCCATTCCATCCTCTCCACTCCCACACTCTGGAGGAAGTCTGATAGTCCTCGCTCTGTGGGGGGGAGCGTTGTCATCTTGCAGGATGGAGTTTGGTCCCAGACTGTTGAGATATGGGATTGCCACTGGTTGCATAATTTCATCTCGATATCCCTCTGCATTGAGATTGCCTCCAATTATTAGAAGCCTGTTTTTTTCAGTGAGGGAGATGCCGCCCCACACCATCACACTGCCTCCACCAAAACATGTTACTCTATCAGTCTCTGCGTCGTCTCCACACTGTGACCCTACGTTTCAAGTGCTGTAGGCAGAATCTGGACTCATCGCTGAACATAATGTTCCTCCACATGTTGAGGTTCCAGTGCAAGTGTACCTGAAGGTGAAGGGCAGTCATGGAAGGCCTCCTGGCAGCCATACGAGACTGGAGATTGGCTGCTGTTTGGCAGAGATGATTTGTCACATTTTTCATGGGCCCAACCCATATAATTAGCTCTGCTGCTCATCCCACAAATGCATGTTCCTCACAAATGTTGTATCATTTGAAAGGTAATCAAATGTAAGGTAAACAGGCTTTCCAACAAGATAAGATGTATTGCCAAGAAGCATTGTTACAACAGAGAAATAATCTACCAAACACACATTTCCTTACTTTTTGTGTTAACTTTATGTACAATGAATGGCAAATAACCAGGCTTGCTGAATGGTAACTCTTCAATTACTTCAATACAACCACCTCAACCAAGTCGATCCAACCTACACCATCAATACCGAACCACCCAATGACACAAATAGCAGCCTTTTATAGGCCCATCATTTAGGCTGTACCATTCACAGGGGTGCTATAGCTAGATATATTTGTATATAGAGCAGGGATAGATAAATTCAATAATAAACCTGTCCCCACAATAATAAACATACAATCAATAACATAGTAATTTAAATTACTAGATGAATGAGAACCTAATATAAATCAACAAAACATAACTGTAACCGGGTTCCCTTGCCCCCTGCGTCCTCCTGCCATGTTAACCCCACCTGGAACAATACAATAGTATCTCCGATTACATTGCAACAATTCATATTTGCTGTGAACATGGTTTGGGTCAGAGATTATATTGTTGGAGAGCCTCACTAGGTTATTATGGTATGCTGACCCTGACAGGTTTGACCAACAATCTTTGAGCAGATTTCCAGCTGGTGGAGCAGTTTTAAAGCAGTCGACAAACATTTGTAGCAATATCGTGGAATAGTCAAAATTACAGACGTGAAGAACAAAAGAGGAAATTGTCTACTCGCCCCAAAAAACCTAAGGAAGCGGCGAAAATAAATTATGTATTTTGTTCTTTTGCAGAGATAATCAATATGGTCTTTCGATGACAGCAGGTGGTCAATCATTACACCCTAGTATTTGTATGAAACTCCCTGCTTGATTTATTTCAGTATGGATTACAATGGGGAGTCAGATGGTGAGCCAAAAACAATCTGTTGGGAAACCTTTGTTTTCCTGGTATTAAAGGTCCCATGTCATGCTTTTCCGGTTATTACCCGTCCCCTTGTGTGTTATGAAGGTTTTTATGCATGTAAACGGTCTGCAGTAACACTCTAACACAGACCTCCCCAAAACGCCTCGTTGGAGATTTCTCATTTACTTCCTGGGTATCGCTACGTAGGGATACCCAGTAGCCACGCCCAGAGCTATGGCCGCACCGTCTGCCAGCCTTTCATGAAACAA